ATGTACCCATCAAATGGCACAGTAACCTTGGGCTATATCGAAGTAAAAAAGAAACTTCTGGTTCGAGCCCTATTTCAATTCCCAGCACGAGGGACTCATACCACACTATGTGACAAGACAATCGTAATGCGCCGCGCAGATGGGCACGGGCGAAGCCGCGCCCAATGAACGAGTTGTCACGCTTGGCTGTTTGAATATAGGTGGAAAAGGGGTGGAGAAATCCGATATCGCCCATCATGGAATCTTGTATTTGCTTGAATTCGTATGATTTCCGCTGCTTTAATTGACAAACTAAACTAAGCCACATCGTGAATTTGCCGCACATGACCGCGCGATACGCCGCGCGCGGTGACGCGGCAAATTACGTTTCCCGCCATACTTCTCGTTCGGGAGGAAAAATCTTCACCAGCACTTGCGTTGAGGGAGATCTTCCATTTTAAACGGAAGTATCGGGGCTATTGGGGATGAAAGACCCGCCATCCTCCTCTGTGGTAGCTTCTCAAAGTCTTCAGGGGAGTGCATCAGGCGAAAAGGGAGGTCTCTTTGAGGGAAAAATAGCATAGGGTCCCAGATAATAATACTCATAACCTCAGCAGCTAAACTCAAGATTACCTGTTCCATGGATAACTTCTGTGGACTTTTCTTCGATGCTCCTTTGTTACCCCCTCCAATATGCAAATCACCAGCAGCCATTTGCTTCTTCAGCAGATTTCCCACGTTGTCAGAAACACGTTTACACGTTGATGGGTCTTCGATCAGGATCTTTAATTTACATTCTAATAAAATAAATATGGTAATCGAGTATTAACACGTGCATGAAAAACGGCTAATATTAACAAAACTCCCACCTTTATACAATCGATAGTAAACGTGTCATCAGACGAAGGCATCCGTGAAAACAATGCTCGTAACATGTTCATGTTCGGATCGCGATCTGGACTATTCAGTTTAGAACTAGGAAAAGAATCTAACCGGGTAAGAAAGAGTAATGCAACTGGCGCTGCTCTATCCCTCTCCGGGATGAATCACGCTATCGACTTCATTAAAGAATCTTAGAAAAGATTTCGAGTCAAGGCATGTCCTGCTGTTGGGAGGGGGGGGGAATATTGCAGAACACACCTCCTTGCAAAAATCCCTGTTTCTGATACAACAGCCTTCCCCATTCTACTATAGCTTTCCAATTCTAATACCATCTTCCTAGATTCTTCAACGTCCCTAACTTTTCTCGATTTCTTCAGATTCCCCCAATTTATCCCGAAAAAAAACTGAACAACGAAACTCGAATGCAAAAACGACCCTCCTCCCTTTAGCAACCGAACAGACCCACTCACTAGGGATACCTACAAAGTCGCCCGACCTACGAAGTTCACGGTTTCGAGTGCAATCTATGCAAGGATTGGCGGGAGCGGGAGGTTTAGACCGGCCAGTGATTTTACTATCCCAGGGGAATCTGGTAAAAGTTGATAGATTCAAGGGAGGGCTACGTATGGCTGAATGGGAATTAGTTCAAGATTAGATCCTCGACTCTGCGAGTGATAGCAGAACCAACTGTCACCGCATTGATCTCGCCCATTAGATAAGGACGCAAACACGCAGATCTTGCAGGGCAGTTGTCAGAAATGAAAGGAAGTGGGACTAATAATCGCTGAAAAGCTTACCAGCTCGCTTCAACATGAGTAGCACATTCGCTGCGGCTTCAGCGTGTTGTGATGACTTCAATTTTGGCAAAAGCTGGATTAACCATTCCCCAGGGATACCTTCGGCGTGTACTGAAATAAAACGACTTCACATAGAAGGAATTCTTATCACAACAAGTTCTTACCCAAATGCCAAAAGGCCCACTGTGCAGTGGTTGGCCAATCTAATGAAGCGGAAACAATCTGAGCGAACGAATCCTTTCGGAACAATGTCACATTTTCCCTGAAGCTCACGTTTGAAGGAGGTTCTTGAAAATGGAAAAGAGGAAGATAGAAAAAACCACGAGGAGAGAGGCTGAGGGGGTGACAGCCTTCCGATTGACAACTGTGAAGAAGGATAAAAATGTTCACACGAGAAACCCCTCTTCCTCCACCCCTTCAATTAAAAAGGAAAAAATATCAACGAAAGCCTTCGGTTCACCTGACAATCTCCCCCATTAACTGCATAATTTGACGAGCATCAATATGTGCACATACAACGCTGAATACCTGAAAATGAAACTGTTTGGCTATATCAAATTGTAGTACCTCCGATGAAAAGTTCATCTGAATGGGCAAATTCGATAACGGTAGCGACTATTAGGGAGGAGTTTCACGACATAATTAACAGATTCACTTACCGAGGCACTAGCACCCGCTTCAACATCAAGTTTTTGAAACACGTATGGAACCAGAAAAGCAAATAATCGATCGTCATCCAC